GTCGGACGCTTAACCGACTAAGCCACCCAGGCGCCCCAACAAACTTCCAGTTTTAAAGTGAACAATTTCGGAGATCTAATGTAGCATAATCGTTTTGGTTAATGGTACCATATTGTATACTTGAAAGTTGCTAAGAGAATACATCTTATATGTTCTTAGCATACCAAAACCAAAACAGGGGCACCTGGCTGGCTCAGTTGAAGCATGTGACTCTTGATCTTGGCGTTGTGGGTTTGAGCTCCATGTTGAATGTAGAGATTTCTTAAAAATAAAATCTTAGGGGCACCTGGGTGGCTCAGTTGGTTAAGCATCCAACTCTTGGTTCAGGTCAGGTCTTGATCTCACAGGTATCTGACTTCAGGCTCCTGGTAGGCTCCCCGCTGGCAATGCAGAAACCTGCTTGGGATTCTCTTCCTCCCTCCATCTCTGTCCCTGCCCCACTCACTCTCTCTGTCTCTGTCTCTCTTAAAACAAACAAACATTTAAAAAAATCTACAAAAAAACCCCCAAAACACATAACTTTGTGACATGATGAATATGTTAATTAGCTTGACTGTGGTAAATATTTCACAATGTATTCATATATCAAAACATCACATTGTACCTTGAACACATATAAATTTGTCAATTATACGTCAGTAAAGCTGGGGAAAAAGAATCAACTGAGAAACTAATACTTACAAAAGATAACTCACAGCCACTGGATGATGTATGGAACCGTGGAATCATTATATCATATACCTGAAACTAATATAACACCATATGTTAACTAACTGGAATTAAAATAAAGAAAAAAGATAGCTCAGCAAAGTGGCTGGGTGCTAATATACAGAAATCAACAGCCTTCATACATCCAAACAATATTTACTTAGATGGTAAAGAGAAATAAAATATCTCATTCATAATAGCTACACAAAGATAAAATAAACCTAACAAGAGATTTTGACTATTAATGAGGGATCCATATGAAGATGAGGGCAAAAAGGCATACCACACTCCCAGGGAGATAGGAGTATGAATGGAACATCACATGGGTATCAATTCCCTGAATTAATCTTTGTAAGTCCACAGTTTATGTAAATATCTAAATTTACATCTACAACTTGTATAAGCTCTTTATTTATTTGAGAGAGAGAGTGACAGAGAGAGAGCATAAGCAAGGGAGGGGCAGAGAGAGATGGACAGGGGATCTGAAGTAGGCTCTGTGCTGAGTAGAGAGCCTGATGTGAGGCTCGAACCCATGTACCGTAAGATCATGACCTGATCCAAAGTTGGACATTTAACCGGCTGAGCCACCCAGGTGCCCCTATAAGCTCTTAATATATAAAAAGTTCCCAGCTGGGGCACCAGGGTGGCTCAGTCAGTTAAGCATCCAACTCTTGATTTCAGCTCAGGTTGTGATTTCATGGTTCATGGGTTTGAGCACCACATCGGGCTCCACACTGACAGTGTAGAGACTGCTTAGGATCTATCCCTTTCCCTCGCTCTCTGCCCCCCTCCCCTACTCTCTCATTCTCTCTCAAAATAAACAAAATAATTTCCCATATATCCAAACAGGCTAATAAAATCAAGAGCCCAATGAAAAATGGGCGAAGATTAGGGAACAACAGTCATTCACTCATACATTCCTTCAAATGATATGTATTGAGTGCACACGTACAGCAAGTCCTGCTATAGGAGCATAGTGGATGAAAGAGTCCCTGTCCACAGAGAACACACATTTGAGGATGGAGAGAGACAGACAAGAACCAAACAATATTTGGGTAATGATAGTGCTATGAAAAGAAAATTAAGTAGGGGGAGGGATAGAGAGGGATGGGGAGGGAACACTACCATTCATTTACTAGAGATAGGTTAGTAAGGGATAACTAGAGAAAGTTTCTCTGAGGAGGTGGCTTGTGAGAGAGACCATAATAATAAAGTTCAGAGTACCCAGTGCAGATATCTTTCATGGTATCAGCATGTTCCAAGGCCCTGAGGTGAGAACAGCATTGGTGTGTGAGAGGGCACAGAAGTGTGCATGGCTGAAGGAAAACGGAGATGTAGCTGGGGGCCAGGCTGGGCAGGCTTTGGTAAGCTCTGGAAAGGGTTTGGGATTTTAAGTGTGATAGCAATCAATTCGGAGGTTTTGAACAAGGGAAAAATACTGATTTATGTTTGAAAGCAATATGGGAGGATAGAATGTAGCAGGGCAAGGGCAGAGGCAAATTCTGCCCAAACGAGAGGTGGAAAATGGTACCTGACTCCGGTTTTTACTTGCATTTTCTCATGGGTGTACTTGCAAAGCCTTTTTTATGTTTCAGAGCTATGGGTATTGTTTGAAAGCACCAAATTTTCACTGGGCTGTTGGGGATGTGGGCAGACTCCTACATTGCTCATGGGAGTGTTAATTGGTACAATAACGAGAAGACTGGAGCAGTATCTTTATTTATTTTAGAGAGAGAGTTTCAGAGCAGGAGAGAGGGGCAGACACACACACACACACACACAGAAAGAGAGAGAGAGAGAGAGAGAGAGAATCTTAGGCATGCTCCATGCTCTGTGCGGAGTCCAATGTCAGGCTCAATCCTTTGACCCTGGGATCATGACCTGAGCTGAAACCAAGAGTCAGACACTTGGGGCGCCTGGGTGGCTCAGTCAGTTAAGCATCCGACTGATACTGCAGAGCCTGCTTGGGATTCTCTCTCTCTCCCTCTCTCTCTGCCCTTCCCTTGATCACTTTCTCTTAAAATAAATAAACTAAAAAAAAAAAGTGTATCCCACATGTTCAGGAAGTTAGAGGAAAGATAGAGCATATTAAATACAGACACATAAGACATTAAAAAAAAGTCACTCAACTGACTGAGCCACCCAAGTACCCTGTGACAATATCTTTCTAAATTAAGAATGTATCCACATTTAACACATCTTTTCAAGGTATTCACGTTGTATATATATTTGTACATGTTGTAGATATATTTGTACATGTGTGAAATTATGTACACAAGAGGATGTTAATAATAGTATTATTAATGAAATATGGAAAACAATCTCCATACCTATCGGTAGGGAGCTGGTTTTATAAATTAGGACATATCTGACCAAAAGAATGCTACACAGTAAATGAATAAAACATAGGGACAACTTTACATATACCCATGGAACCATCTCCAGTGAACTGTTAAGAGAAAAACACAAAATTCATGACAATGTTTGTAAGTAGGCTACCATTTATCAAACATATTTGGAAATGCACAGATGACCTCTGAAAGAATATAAAATAAATTGGGAATGTAGTTGCCTCTCCGAGGATCAGGGGACAAAGGAGAGTTGCCCAACATACCCTGTTACACATTTGAGTTTTCTCCAGGTACGTGTTTTAATTATTTAAAACTGGTTTTAACATGAAAGATTGTTAGAGAAATATGACAGGGAGAGGCTGCAGAAGACAGAAGAGAAACGTGAGGGGAAACAACCTTCAAAGATGGTCTTACTTGTATTTTTTTAATGTTTGTTTATTTTTCAGAGCGAGTAAGATAGAGAGAAAGAGAGGAGAGGAAGAGACAAGGGCACAGAGACAGAGGGAGACAGAGGATCCCAAGCAGGCTCTGCACTGGCAGCAGAGAGTCTGATGTGGGGCTCAAACTCCCCAACTGTGAGATCATGACCTGAGCCAAAGTCAGATCCTCAACCGACTGAGCCACCCAGGTGCCCTTCTCACTCTGTGTTTCTTAAATTAAAAATATATGAAATTACAGTAAAATTTTGATGAGTTGTTTTCTCCCTGGGAAGAAAAGTCAAGAGAGAAAAGGCAAGCTTATACTGCTACAGATTTTTAATTAAATCCTACCAAAAAAAGAGATCCTTCCCTATAGGTGATTAAACACTGCACCATGCTATTTAGGAAAATTAAGTACTTATAAGAAACAGATTATCTGCCATGAATGGCTTGAGCTTCAGTATTCCTGAATACAATTGGACCAGCAGGACTGGCCTACATCAATTCTACAAGTAAAGATGTGTGGGGTGCAGGCTGGCTTAGTTGGAGGACCATGTGAATTTTGATCTTGGGGTCTTGAGTTCAAGCCCCACACTGGGTGCAGAGATTGCTTAAATAAATAAATAAATAGAAAGTAAAGATTTGCTAGTAGTTGAAGAGATAAACCACGTTTACCTGCTTTTTACTGCTTTTCACTTCAGGTCTACTTAATTCTATCTCTCTATCTACATCTACAGATTGCTGTGGCTTTTCCTTAGCGTGTCCGGGTAACTCATATATACTTTGTGGTTCTGGTAGATTAGTCAGAGCCCCAGCTGCCCCAGGTAATAATAATAGCTAACACTCATCCAGTAAATACTTTCAGTCAGGCACTGTTCTAAGCACTTACATCTACTGAGTTTTTAATCTTCACATCAATCTTACAGGGCAGGTCCTAAAAGTATCCCCACCATATAGATAAGGAAACTAGGGCACAAGAGGTGGAGTAATTTGCCCAAGGATACACTGCTAAGAAGTGAACCTGGTCAGTCTGACTTCTGAGTATGTGCTTTCGGACCAAGACACTAGGCTGCAGAGCCAGGGAGTCCAGAAGGAAGACCATGCCTACCACCCAGGGTTTCATTCACTTTTAATCTGGTCAATACTTCATTCAATACAGGGTAACAGACTACAAGCAAACGTACCCTGAACCTAGAACCATCACTATCCAAAACCAAACCAGAAAGTATCAACACACAAGGCATAGGAGTTGCCATCTGTAAACACTTGCCTAAGCGCACCAGAAAAACCTTTACTGAGATGAGTGTGTCTTTTAGGGATCCCCACCCCTGCCACCCCAGGAACCTAGGCCATGTTCCAAATCCCCAAAGGGAACTACCAATCCTGAGATAAATGAATGCCACAATTTCTAGAATACAGCTTACTTAAGACAGAAAGTTAGGACAAAGTGTTGGTCACTGGTAGAAAATATTGAACAAGAGCGTCCAAGAAGTGGGGTCCCAGGACTGTGTCCATACTGTACCTCTGTAATCCCCATAAAGGTTAGGAAGGAGGGTGTTACTGGCCCATGGATAGAAATGCTTAAGAAGTCTGATCTCTGAGAAATGGTGGGAAAGCTCTTATGGACGGCTTGTTGGAGGCAAAGCCTCCTGGAGTTCCATTCACTGCAGTCATCAACAAGACAAGGAAGAGGATTTGTACTAGAAGAGAAAAAAAAAAATCACAGTTGAGTGGTTAGCTCAGAAATTCTCTACAACTTCTCCTTCATGGTTCCTAAGCCTTGGCAATTTCATATGGTTCAACCTAACAACTGAAAAGAGACAAACCAACATATTTGGCTCATAGTGTTACCTATACATAGCTACAAGTATTTTACATATTCCTTCCCAGAATTACTCTGCCACTCATCAGATGTTTTCTTTGAAATAAGATAAACAAAATCCTACACAAAGATTGCTGTATTTTATTTTTTTTAAATTTTTTATGTTTTTTATTTATTTCTGAGAGAGAGAGAGAGAGAGAGAGAGCGAGCATGAACAGGGAAGGGTCAGAGAGAGAGGGAGACACAGAATCCGAAGCAGGCTCCAGGCTCTAAGCTGTCAGCGCAAAGCCTGACGCGAGGCTTGAACCCACAAACCATGAGGTCATGACCTGAGCCGAAGTCAGCCGCTTAACCAACTGAGCCACCCAGGCGCCCCAAGATTGCTGTATTTTAATTCTTAAAACTAAATGCATCTCCACCCGCAACCTTTCTCTCTCTAGCTCTCTCTGGACTGTGTCACCAGAAAGGGAAGGCAGATGAAAACAGAACTGGTCTTCTTTGATCCAGGAAATGCGATAGCCCAAACATGGTATGTGCTGAACTAGTTCCCCTGGACTTACAGGATAGCCACTTTTGAAAGCAGATCCATTTTTCCTCCAGCCAGTGAAGTATATAGAGTTGTGATACTCCACTCTGCAGGCAGAGGAAGGAACTTATTCAAGCACACAATGACCTCTCACGACATCTAAGTTCAGGAGTCTTCCCATTTACCACACTGCCTTGGAGTCCGTATTTTTTTCAAGGGGAGTATTTTAAGAGAGCTTCTCACTCCTCTGTATTTTCATTTTCTTCTCACTCCCTCTGTGCTGGGAATTGTGCTACAGGATCGACATATTAACTGTTTGCTCTCCATACCCCAAATATCTCCTGTCAGCCTGTAAAGTTTCTTCCCTTTCAAGGTTCTTTCTGGGCACTTACCCGGGCTGTTGACAGCTGGAGCTGTATAGATGTGGTTGTTCTTATCTGAACCAGGAAATGGTGAACATTTTGCTGTCAAAAATTCAAATGTGGGCCAAAAAATAGTTACATTTCATCAGGCAGTTATTCATCAATATTTGCTGAAACTCTAATACGAGTATCTTCTGTTAAATGCTGAAAACACAAAGAATAAAGCTATGGAAGTGGCCCTTCTCAAACTATCATGGACTTAAAAAATTCCAATCCACTGAGGACAGATACTTTGATAAAATACAGTAAAAATGAATTTGCTAGAAAAAAGAAGTAAAATAGGAGCAAGTAAAATACAAGTCCCATTTTTTTTTAAAGTTTATTTATTTTGAGAGAGAGGGAAGGGAGAGGGGCAGAGAAAGAGAGAGAGAGACAGTGATGGAATCCCAAGCAGGCTCCATGCTGATGGTGTAGAGCCCAAACTGGGGCTCAAACTCATGAGTCTTGAGATCATGATCTGAGCTGAAATCAAGAGTCAGTCATTTAACTGACTGAGCCACCCAGGTGCCCCCAAGTCCCACCTAAAATTCCCACTTTCAGATTCAAGGGCGCCTGAATCTGATCGGCTCAGGTCATGATCTCACGGTTCGTGGGTTCGAGTCCTGCATTGGGCTCTGTGCTGACAGCTCAGAGCCTGAAGCCTGCTTCAGATTCCGTGTCTCCCTCTCTCTGACCCTCCTCTGCTCACGCTGTCCCTCTCTCTCTCTCTCTCAGAAATAAATAAAACATTAAAAAAAAATTCTCTTTAAAAAAGTTAGATTCAATATGCCTAGAATTTGTCTGCCCAATTGCTATAAAACTTTCTCAACATTTACTCTCACTTTCTGTATTCATCTTGGACTAGAAACAAACAGTTCTAGTATAAGAACCACACATTGGGAGTATTGTTCTGGAGCCCCGGTGTTCCTCAAATTTCAATGTGCACAGGAATCGCCTAAGAATTTGGTTCAAATGCAGATTCTGGAATAAGGCCTAAGATTAATCATTTCTAAAATTCCAGGAGATGCCAATGCTGCTGGTCTGTGGACCACACTGTGAGAAGCATCTAGAGACACATAATCTAAGATGGAAAGAGAGAAGGAATTAGAATAGGACATGAAACTTGCCAGCAGTATGTGCCTCGTGCTTGGGAGTCACAGAAGAGAAAATAAATCTCCCTGAGGAAGTCGGAGAAGGTGTCACAGAGGTGAAACTTGACATTCGTTTTGAAGGATGAGTCAGATACAATTCTCTAAATGGACAAGGACAAAAAAAAGACAAAGTCCTTTGAGGCAGAGTGAACAATTCCAGAGCAGGGAGAAATGAAAAAAGGGCTAGAAAGGCAGTTTGAAACCACATTAATTTCTAAAAATCTCTTAAGGAATGGGGTGTCTCTACCTTAGTAATGTGTCCACCACTCAGCTTAAGAAATAAGTTATTGCCTCTTATTAACGTCGCTAGTGTTCGTCTGTGGTGGCATCCCTTGCCTTCAGAAGGTTAATCCAATACTGAATTGAAGAGTTTATCATTCCCATGCATTTCTTCACACACACAGACACAAACACATACACATGTGTGTATACACATATAGATCTGTATAGATCATGCTGTTTTCCATGATCAAAGGACTGTGTTAACTATTTTGCTCACCACTGTGTGTGTGAGGTTCATCTGTATGACAGGGGCAGCTCCAATCAGTTATTTACAGGGTGGTTTCCCTCAGCATGGTGGCTGAATGCGAGGAGGAAGAACTGAGGATTACTCTGACCTTTTGCAAGAGTGGGCGTGTACTTAACTGAAAGAAGAGTAAAGAAGTCAGTCTGCAGGCCAGGCAATCCAGATGGGGGCGGGTCTGATCTGAGACTTGGGCAGGTATCTAGGTACAGATGGTGAGCAGCTGGAAAGAGTCTCTGGGGCCCAGGAGGGAGACAGAGACTTGAGAGGAGATGCAGGACACGCACAAGAGGTAAAGCACTGAGAGAGCACGAAAGGAGTGCCCAAGTGTGGTGACTCACTGGCTCTCCGTGGGCAGCGGAGAAGGAGCAGCCAGCTGACAAGAGACAAGATCCCACATAGATAAATCTGACCCGGCGGGGTGGCCAGATGTCCAGTATTCCAATACAATTTGCGCCTTGCAAAATCAGATGTCGGTAGTTAGAACTACTTGAATTACCCAAGAGTGCCGAGACCCTCCTCGTTTGTGGTTCCTTCTCTTTGGTAAGCCCCGGCATCCTGTTCAGCGTAAGTGAGACGGACAAGGTGAGGAAGATCGCCTAGACAGGAAGATCAGAGGAGAAACGAAGGAGCAGATATTATAGGATTCAAGGTGACTGTGGTTAATACATTTCAATTATGTGGCCCTTTACTATCATGGAAAACTGAAAATTAAGTAGTTCCATAATTATTTTTGCATAATTACAGGGACCTGGTTAATATAATGTTAATATTTGTATTTTTGCTTGTAGTCCTTAGCTGCTTGGCTAGGAGAGTTTAACTATCGGATGATCTGTGATGACCTGTGTAAGTTATTTAAGAACATCTTTCTTGGGGGTGTCTGGGTGGCTCAGTTGGTTAAGTGTCTGGCTCTTCCTTTCAGCTCATGTCTTGATCTCAGGGTCATGATTTCAGGCCCCATGTTGGGCTCCATGCTGGGCATGGTGCCAACTTAAACTAAACAAACAAACAAAAAACTACCTGTCTTTGGAAGACCTCCAATGAGCTGGACTGGAAAAGCTACATTTAAAAAATTTTTAAGGTTTATTTATTTGAGAGAAAAAGAGACAGACAGTACAAGTTGTGGAGAGGCAGAGAGAGAGAGAATCCAAAGCAAACTCTGAGCTGCCAGTGCAGAGCCTGATGTGGGTCTCAAACCCACAAACTGTGAGATCATGACCTGAGATGAAACCAAGAGCTGGACACTGACTGAACCACCCATGCACCTCCTCCTTTTAAAAAAATGTTTATTTTTGAGATGAGCAAGCACACTTGGCGTAGGGGCAGAGAGAGAAGGGAACAGAGGATCCAAAGCAGGTTCTGCACTGACAGCAGAGAGTCCAATCAGGGCTCAAACTCACAAACTGTGAAATCATGACCTGAGCTGAAGGTGGCTGCTTAACCGACTGAGCCACCCAGATGCCCCTGGGGATACTATATTCTTAAAATCCCAAGGATTAAATTAACTAAAACCTTAGGTATCTGTTACACGTGTAACAAGTATCCCCTCTCCACCCTGTCTTTAATTTCCATGGAGGGGAACAAAGTGCTCTAGACCTCAGGAAAATAAAAGACAAGGGTGCTATTTCCAGCCTGTTGCCACACACCCCATTTTAGAGCCTGCAATTTTGGGTGCATCTGCTCTGGAGACCTCAGGTCACCCCTTATTGGCTGGTCCCTGGACTAGACTTTGGAGAAAAAGTAGAAAATTCACTTGCCCATGGGTCCAACCAAATTCAACACTGTAGCGATACCAATAACTAATATAATACACTTGCTTCCATCTCTTCCTATTTTTATACTTTTCCCCCAAAACGCCCCTGCAACTTTTTAAAACATGTTTTTTTCTTTAAATTAAAAAAATGTTTATTCATTTTTGAGAGACAGAGTGTGAGCAGAGAAAGGGAGACACAGCATCCAGGCACCAACTTTATTTATTTTTGAGAGAGAGCAAGCGAGTGAGCACAGGAGAGGGGCAGAGAGAGAGGAAGACAGGATTTGAAGCAGGCCCCATGCTGTCAGCACAGAGCCTGATGTGGGGCTCGATCTCATGAATCATGAGGTTATGACCTGACCTGAAGTTGGATGCTTAACTGACTGAGCCACCTGGGCATGCCCCTTCAGCTGTTTTAGCTGAAGTGATATATATTTATTATAAAAATCTGGGAAAAAAGGAATAATTAGAGATTTTAAGAAAAATTTAAAATTTGGAATATATCCTTTTGGAGATATGTATATATATATATATGTATATATATACACACACACGGAATATATCCACTTTTGTCTTAATGTATTTCTGTATCACTACATTTTAACAGTTTTAATGGTTGCCTGGTATTCCATTATATGGGTATGGCTGCCTCATATTAAGGCACTCAGTAAGCAGTGTTCTATTTTTGGGCATTTAATTTGCTGCCGATTTTTAAAAATAAACTACTTTGAATCTTCTCAGGATAGATCCTTAGAAATGAAACTTATTTAGTGAAGGGATGCAGAATTTGAAGGCTTTTATCCTGTGTTGTCTGATTATCCTCAACCAGCAGTGAATGGTTGAGGCATCACCATGTAGTATAAAGTTTTTGCCATTTTTAAAAACCAAATGGAATCTTATTGTTCTAATATATTTGACAAGGGAAGATAAATTTCTTATAAATTTATACACACACACAACGGAATATTACTCAGCGATCAAAAAGAATGAGATTTTGCCATTTGCAATGACATGGATGGAGCTAGAATGTATAATAATAAGTGAAATAAGCCAGAGAAAGACAAATACCATACTATTTCACTCATATTTACAATTAAGAAACAAAACAGATGAACATATGGGAAGGAGAGGGAAGCGAAAAGAGGGAAACAAATCACAAAAGACTCAACAGTGAACAAACTATGTGTTGAGGAAGGAGGGGGATGGGGGATGGGTTAGATGGGTGATGGGTATTAAAGAGGGCACTTACAACGAGCACTGGGTGTTGTATCTAAGTGATCAATTCCTGAAACCAATACTGCACAGTATGTTAACGAACTAGAATTTAAATTAAAAAAAGAAGTCTGTGCATTCTTTTTCAGTATTTTTATATATGTATTTCGTGTTTTGCATTATTTTGGTTTATTGAATCTCCTGGTCATTAGTGACATCCCCTTCAGTTCAACTTCTGAATTTAAAAAATTTGTAAATCACATTTTTCATTTCCTGAAAGCCTTTGTGTGTTTGATACAACTGATCTACTAAAGAGGTCTTATTATTTTTTTAGTCTCCTCCAGTACTTTTTAATTAAATCTACCTACTCCTTTTTCTCCCTGGGATCAGTGGGTCTGAAATGGGGCTACACACTAGAACCACCTGGGAAGTTTAAGCGTGCTGGTCATTGGAAACCATCTCTGGGCCTTACTTATTTAATTGGCCTGGGGCACCTGGGTGGCTCAGTCCACTGAGCATCTGACTTTGGCTCCGGTCATGATCTCATGGTTCATGGGTTTCAGCCCGGTGCTGACAGCACAGAGCCTGGAGCCTGCTTCAGATTCTGTGTCTCCCTCTCTCTCTATCCCTCCCCTGCTCCCACTCTGTTTGTCTCAAAAATAAATTTTAAAAAACTAAAAATTTTTAACTGGTCTGGAGTGAAGCCTGACTGTCAAGAGTCTTAAGAGCTCCCCAGGTTTGTTTGTGGGAGCTCAGATCTATCCTCTATGATTCTTACAGAAGAAGAAATCCTATCACCAAAATCCAGAATGTTGAAATTCTACTGGACAAAATACAATTTCTTCAACAAATACACTGTGATAAAAAAAAAAAAAAAGTATAGATAGCAATGCTAAGAGAAAGGAAGGAGGCTCCTTTAGACTAAATATACTTAAGAGCTATATCAACTAATTGCAACACATGGATTTTATTTGAATCTTGATGTGAACAAAATAACAATAAAATAAACATCTGAGACGATAGAAAAATCTGAACAGTAGCTTTAAAAAAGTGGTAAAATATACATCAAAAAACCATTTTAATCTTTTTATAGTATAAAATACAATTATATTGCATAAATATTAACACATTAGTGTGATAATTGTTTTTACTTTTATTTTTTAATTTTTTTAAATGTTTACTTTTGACAGAGAGAGAGACAGAGACAGACAGAAAGAGAGCGAGCGAGCGCATGAGCAGGAGAGGGGCAGAGAGAGGGGGACACAGAATCCAAAGCAGGCTTCAGGCTCAGAGCTGTCAGCACAGAGCCTGTTGTGAGGTTTGAACTCATGAACAGTGAAATCATGACCTGAGTCAAAGTCCGAAGCTTAACCAACTGAGCCACCCAGGTGCCCCTTTATTTGTTTTTAAAATAAGAGTCCTTAGGGGCACCTGAGCGGCTCAGCCATTTGAGCTTCTCACTTTGGCTCAAGTCATGATCTCGCAGTTTATGGGTTTGAGCCCTGCCTTGGGCTCTGTGCTGACAGCTTGGAGCTTGGAGCCTGCTTTGGATTCTGTGGCTCCCTCTCTCCCTGCCCCTCCCCTGCTCGTGCTCTGTTCTCTCTCAAATATAAACAAACATTAAAAAAAATTATAGAAGAGATAATAATGGGCACCTGGGTGGCTCAGTCGGTTAAGCGTCTGACTTCGGCTCAGGTCATGATCTCAAGGGTTTGTGGGTTTGAGTCCTGCATAGGGCTCTGTGCTGACAGCTCAGAGCCTGGAGCCTGCTTCAGATTCTGTGTTTCCCTCTCTCTTTGCCCCTCCCCTGCACACATACTGTCTCTCAATAATAAATAAAACATTAAAAAAAATAAAAAGCCCGTATCTTTTTAGAAATATACACACTGTTTATGGATAAAATGATATGAAGTGAAGCATTTTCTTTTTTTTCAAAATAGATGATTGGCTTGTTTTGGCAATGAAGTAATGGTTGAAGCTGGCTAAGAGAACAGTAAAATTCATTATAGTAGTCTCTACACAAATCTGTGGGCTTGACGTTTTCCTTAATTCAAAGTTTTTAAAAATTAAGTTTTCTGTTGCTTTTTTTCTCAAAGTAGTTTATTGTCAATTGATTTTTTACTTGTCATTTTTAACTTGGCAATCCTTTTCTGCTCTGTCTCTACCAATCTATCAGTTCTGGTTAGTTTTTTCTGTGACTTTACTTCACACATATCTCAAATTCCATTCTGCCTATATCTGTGTGTGTGTGTGGGAGGGGGTGGAGTTGGTCAAATTGTCAAAAACATTAGGCACTTTGAAATGACACCCAAGGGTCTCACTGTTCCAAACTACCTGCAACTAGAGTGGGTACCTCCCCATCCCCCCATTGCCCCCCCCCCCATACCTTTAGTGGCTGGCTGATGACGATGTTTTGAAGCACTGATAATATCATGGAAATAACCCAGCCAGTGGCTTGGTCTTTGTTCAGTTCTAGGCTATGAAGTGCAGTAAAAAAGGCTGCAGCCAGGCTAGTGACCCCCGGAAGGGGCCAGCAGATGTAAGTCAACCATCTGGGCAGGCCTTTAGTGATGAGCTTCTTCCCCTCTTACGGACTCAGGAGGGGGGAACTGGTTGCCTCCCTTTTAAGAACAGAAGTTGAATAATCTGCCAACAGCTGAGAGAGAGGCGCAGGAAGATTACAAGGAAGCCGGTGTGGTGCTTACCTGGATGGCCCCTGTTCTGTTGGGAAAATACGCATTTCCAAGAGCTCCTGGAGTTTTGTGGTTGGTTGGTGGCATCTAGGATGTCACAAGGCTGGCCATCCTGGGCGGGATCCAGTGCGCTTACAGGAGATCGAAGCCTCTGCAGAACTCTGAGCAGGTGACGGCATAAATGATGCTGGCTTTCAGGAACCACTGCAAATGCAGGCCGGGGTTCACACTTGAGCAAGTGGGAGACTTCAGCAGAGAGTAATTACTGGCAGAGATTAGCAACTCATTCATTGATGAGGTTAAATTGCCCAGTCAAAGGTGATGAGACCGCAATTAGTATTGTCTTCTCCGAGCGTGCTGGCTAACTGGTAACGATTTCTACAATTCTGCACTGTGATTCAGAATAAAAACAACTTTTGCTCTAGAAGCAAACAAAAATTTAAACCTAATTGGGCTTTTTCACCAGAACTGCAGGACATGTACAACTATATAAGTGCCCAGGAGGCCCAAACTATGTTCAAGAATCCATAGATCATATAATCTCACCATTCCACAGAAGAGAAAGAAGGACACGTTTCAAGAGCCCCCAACAAAGCAGATGGAATATGGGGGCATCTGAGGGCAGTTTTGTGGGTTCTTCCTTAATCCTTTACTTTGTTTCAACAGCTATAATGTCTTGAAAGCTCTACTGGAAGTTTAAGGAAGGTGAGCCAAGCAGAAGGTTGTACTATGCCTGCTGGTTATGCTGAGCGGTAGGAAGGATAGGAAAGAGGCAAGCAAGGGAGAAGGAGGTAGAAAGCACATCAGTTCCTAAAACCTGCGGAAGTTTACCATTCACCCGATGGGGTCCTGCCTGCCAATGAGAGCCGTGACCCTCTGAGTGAGAACAGATGAGGCTGGATAAAAGCTGCACCAGCTTGTTAACGTTGGAAGGAAGCCATAAAGATTGTTCCAACTCTGAGAGTAAATACGTACTTCTCCTGAGTAGGAATCCCAAAGTTTCCTTTAATTCCTGAATGTAGAACCAAGATGAGAAAAGTCAGTTTTACATTCACCCAGGACTGGTAGCAGTTATAGATGGTGAGGTTGTCCCTTTAGTAGGAGAAGCAAATTCTTAGTGGGAAGAACCTCCATTTTTCATTTTCTTTCACCTTTTTCAGAAAGAAGTCACCTCACAGTAGCTTCAAAACTAGTTTTAGGAGGACCACCTAGGTAGCTATGTTGTTTAAGTGCCTGACTCTTGATTTTAGCTTAGGTGAGTCTACGGCCATACCACCCTGAACGCGCCCGATCTCGTCCGATTTTAGCTTGGGTCACAATCTCATGGTAGTGAGATCAAGCTCGGGGTCAGGCTCCATGCTGAGCATGGAACCTGCCTGACAGTTTCTTTCTCTCTCTCTCCCTCCCTCCCCCCTCTGTCCCTCTCCCGCTAACACTCTCAAAATAAATAAAATAAACATTTATAAATTTATTATTTTTTAATGTTTACTTTTGAGAGAGAGAGCAAGAATAGGGGAAGGGCAAAGAGAGAGGGAAACACAGAATGCGAAGCAGGCTTCAGGCTCTAAGCTGTCAGCACAGAGCCTGACGTGGGGCTCAATCCCACAAACCGTGAGATCAAGACCTGAGCTGAAGTTGGACACTTAACCAACTGAGTCACCCAGGCGCCCCTAAAATAGACACTTAAAAAAAGAAAACAAAACTAGTTTTAGGAGAATAGAGAATGAAAGAAAGGATCATTTGCTCAAACATCAAAAATGAAAATTTCAGATTTGTACCTTCTACACTCACATCCTGTCCTCAGAATACTGTCAGTAAGGGGAGAAACAAGGGGCATGATGCATCGTAGCCCAGAGGAGAGAACTTAGGGAAAAGCTATCAAGATTAATAGGACCCCATGAGCCTTCCAGAAGATCCCGTCTGCTGGCCTTTCTGGCTTCATGGGGAAGCAGGGCCCACCATCTACCCATACAGTTAGATACCCAGCTTACCTCAGTCACCTCTGTGAGATAGAGGCTCAAAAGGAGCATGTGAGAGGCAGGAAGCCTGGCGGGAAGGAAAGAGAGGCAGGGTTCCTGAGACCGAATCAGGATTACAAGACTGACTGGGAAGAGGACGACAGCAGTTTGGATGCTGATGAGCAGTTGGGACCAGGTCACAGCAAACGGACACACTGGAAGAAGAGCATCACATCAACCTTCATCCTCAAGAGCTGAAATCATCTCAGAGCCCTTCCCCTCCCAGCTTTAGGCATTTATTTGGCAACTTAACCATGACTACCTAAGGACAGGACATCCTCATGGCAGTAAAGATCCCGATGTGTTCCTAAGGCTGCTTCATTCACTAATGAATGGGAACCCTGAGGAAACCTGTTAGCGTATTCGAGTGTTAGGGCAGCCAAGGAAAAACAAAGGCACATCAAGATCGTGTTTCTGACCCTGCAAGGAAGGAGCGTGTGGTACAGTAAGAGGATTACACACCACAAACGCCACACATCACCCAGGCCTTGCCTATCTCTCTCAGCACTGGTGCCATTTCTTCTCCAGAACATGACATTGACAACCATCTCACACAAAAGCAAGGTCATGCAGCAAGAGAGCCTCTGGACTCTTGTGAACTGGTTCCAAGGATGTCGAGCTAAAGCTGAGAACCACAGATGATCCCTGGGTGAGCTTTTCTACAATCATGGAGGAGAACAGGTGTCTATGAAGAGAAATCCGAACAGGGCAGAAATGAGACTTCATTCCAACAGCATCCTATACTAAGAGGCGGTTTGCCTGGCAACATGCTTACAGCAACAACTCAGCCACTATCCAACACCTCTAGAAAGACTCTCAAATTCATGGCAACGTGATTCTTTTGTAGTTTTAGGACAAAATGTTGTTGAGGATAAGGTTAATTTATATTGTATGAGAGTTTAAAATTAAAAACAGTTTTTTATCTTCCCAAAAGCTTTGATAAATCTTTCACTCTTCAAGAGTTTGCATTAGTCTTCCACTCAAGATAGTTTGGTAAATTCAAGTTTGAGCCCCTTCTCTACTCCATATATGGAGGAATTATAAATAAGGCATAGAAAGAAGGAATCAAAGTGGTGCCTGGGTAGCTCAGGTGGTTACACGTCTGACTCTTGATTTCAGCTCAGGTCATGATCCCAGGGTGGTGGGATCCAGCCCCGCATCAGGCTCTGCACTGACAGTGTGGAGCCTGTTTGGGATCTCTCTTTCCCTCTCTCTGCATGTGCACACACTCTCTCAAAATAAATAAACACTAAAAAAAAGGAAGAGCCAAAAATATGGGCTGGGCTTAAAAAAGAGCTGGGACACCTTGGTGGCTCAGTTAAGCATCTGACTTCAACTCAGGTCATGATCTCAGTTTGTGGGTTCGAGCCCCATGTTGGGCTCTGTGCTGACAACTCAGAGCTTGGAGCCTGCTTCAGAATCTGTGTCTCCCTTTCTCTCTGCCTCTCCCCTATTCATGCTCTATCTCTGTGTCTCAAAAAAAAATATTAAGAAACTTAAAAAAAAAAAAAAAGAGCTAAACATCTTTGAAGAGAAGAAATGGAATGAATAAACATGGTGATGAGCAGGGTAGATTTCTGGGCTCCAGGTCTGGAAGAAGGCAGTATGCAGGCAGGAATTTGCCTCTTGCAGGGTAACTGGAACTGAAAGTATTTCATAGGGTGGGGTAGGTAGAGTAAGCCAACTTCACTGCTTGGAGCCCAGGTTCAGGCTGGAGCTCATGAAGGGAGACTGCAGAACAATAAACTGCTAATTTATGGGCATGGAGGTGGGTGAAAAAAGGACAGCCCCATAACCAGGAATTGAGCCAAGAAATCCACTGGTAAATGACAAAATCTGCAATAGCCCTAGTTTTATCAATTCCACTGAGGGAAAGGAGATCCAAAATACTGTAATATAATAAGGCCTAATTGTAGTCTAGCCATGTGAAGAGTTGCATGGAAACAGCAGCAAGACTACCAGTCAGGGATGAAGGATAGAGAGAAATTGAACAATAAAACCACCCCCAAATAAACATATAATCCCAAATTCCTAAACTCAGAAAGAAATCAAAGAGAAAGGCAGCCAAAACAATCAATAATTCAGTACTGATGAAATTAATTTCGTGGTGCTCTATGAAAAAAAACACAAAACTTTACTGTGGTATAATTTATATATGATAAAAAGGCACCCATTTGAAGCATACAGGTGAAGGGGTGCCTGGGTGGCTCACTTGGCTAAGTGCCCAACTCTTGATCTCAGCTTAGGTCTTGATCTCACTGTTGTGAGTTCGAGCCCTGTATTGGGCTCTGCTCTGTGTGTGAAATCTACTTTAAAAATGAATAAAAGGTACAGTAGAATACATTAAGATTTTTAATTTATTTAAGCGATCCCCACACCCAACATGAGGACTAAACTCACAACCCTGAGATCAAGAGGTGCACACTTTTCTAACTGAGCCATCCAGGAACCCCCAGTCCAACACATTTTTAGTGATGTGAACACTTGTGTAAGTACCACCACTGCCAAGTTATCACCCCAAAAAGTTCCCTTGTGCTCCTTTCCAGTGAACTCCCCTCAGACTCACCCCTGGTCCCAAGTGGCCACTGATCTGCTTTCTGTCTCTGTACAAGTTTGCCTGTTTTAGAATTTCATATACATAGAACCATATTTCATGTTTTCTTCTGTTCTGGCTTCTTTCGCTTGGCAAAATGTTTTTGAGATTCACCCATGTAACTGTATCAATAGACTGTTCGTTCTGTTGGTGAGTAGTATTCCATTAAATGAACAGGCTAACACTTCTTACTCATTCGCCTGATAGACACTTGTGTTGCTTAGTTTTGAACTGCTATTAATAAAACTGCTATGAACGAATGTGTATACAATTTGGGAAGGACATATGCTTTCATTTACAAGCCTTGCCAGACTGTTCTCCCACGTGGCTGCAGTGTTTTGTGTTCCCAGCATCACCTGTGAGTCCCAGTTGCCTCCAACTTCACCCAAACTTGGTTTTGTCAGACTTTTTCATTTTAGTTATTCTGGTGGATGTTTAGTGCTCTCACTGTGGTTTAGTTTGCACTTCTTGATGACTAGTGACATTAAGCATCTCTTCAAGTGATTATACATTATTCACCATTATAATCAAAATGGAATGAAAGTGTCTGAGTTGCTCAATAGATGCCTGAACAGAGTGCAGGCAGCAAGCAAATGATCAGACTCTGCTGGCCTAATGGTCTAGAGTAGCATGGAAAAACTCATTTTGCTGACAAACAGGCAGGCTGCACACTCTTTTCAAGTGGACAATATTCAGCAACAAGTTGAGCACCTGGGCCTTAGACCTTTGACTTCATTCTCTTCTTTTTCCCAAACTCCAACCAACCAATCATCTCAGTCCTTAGTTATTTTCATTGTTATTCTCTACACCCACCTCTTCTCATCCTGCTCACTGCTCGATAAAAACAGGATCATGTGGACCTCGCACACATCAGGTTCACATGCTCACCACGGATCTTTTCCCTCTCTAGCCCCATGGGCACATCCCATGTCATGATTCTTCCCTTATTTCCCCTCAAGCTCTTAATTTTGACCCAAAGTATACTTAGTGAATAGTCATTCATTACATTTAATCTTGAAAGATATTTTTCACATTTAGAGGTACTTTTAATTTACAACACTTTGGAGCAGTAACTTGTTATTATCTGCGGTTTTTACAATCATGACAACATTAAATGAAGATAAAAGAAAAAAATCACCTATCACTTTACCACCCACACAAAATCATATTGTTAATTTCCCATACCAAGGTTTCTTTTTTGTAGATGCTTTGAAATTTTTTTTAAATATTTTCTTTTTAACATTTACTCATTTTTTTTTTTTTTTTTGAGACAGAGAGAGACAGAACATGAGCAGGGATGGGAGGAGAGCATAGAGAGTGAGACACAGAATCTGAAGAAGGCTCCAGGCTCTGAGCTGTCAGCACAGAGTCTGATGCAGGGCCTGAAGCTAAACTGTGAGATCATGACTTAAGCTGAAGTCAGACGCTGAACAACTGAGCCAACCAGGTACCCTGATGCTTTGAAATTTAAATCTAATTGTCACTGGTTACAATCTGGCCCAAAGCATTATTGTCATTTGTTGTGATGGCATGCTAGACTTACCCCAGCACACCAGAGATCCATGAAGAAGAAAGGCGGAGGCAGCGGGGACTTACCAAGAAAGGTTGGCCCCCAAATCATCATGCCAGAACCGGATGCTGCACAATTCCCCTGGAGAATTCTAGGGGAAGACGTCTAGGCCCCTCCCCTCAAAGACTGCCTTCTCAGGGTCATGAAGGTGATGGGGCTCGCTCTGGCCCTCTGATCCATAGAGGGCGATAACCACCTAAAACACATAAGGAAAGATAAAATGCAAGAAGCTCTAAAAGGATTCTTTGGGCTTATCCCAAAGGACAAGGGGGAAGACAGAGCTGTACTGAGATGAAGTCTTTGTGGGGTTGGACAAGGAGAGAAGGCTCTGCAGATGTCCAGTGTAGAACTAGGAGCCGCCCTCGTAAGTGCTCCTGGACGCCGGGGCGTCACTGGGTCAGAGCGCATCTTGGGCAGTAGGAGACATAAGGCAAGGAGTGCAGAACATTCATCTCATTAAGCTTAGCTGCTGTGGAGGCCCTTCTTTGACAGCCAGTGGAGACCTGCAGGAGGTAGTAAAACTGAGAGCTGCGGTCATTATCATCCAGGACAGTGACCTTTACCTGTAGGAACAGCAGAACCAAGATGGATCTTCACCTAGTGTAGCCCCTGCTTCCTCCAGCTAAGCAGCAGCAGGACGGTCAGCTCCAGCCTTGGCACTTCCGTGGACATCAAGGGCGGCGCGCGGGCACAAGATAATGAACAAGAGACCTAAGTGATGAAGCAGGAGATGAGGGCTGAAGTCCCAGGTTTAGGCCCATAATCTGAAATATTCATAGACAGCTGATCAGGTCTTGGCCTCAGAAATCCTCCCACCTCCTGCTCACCCAGGCAGGGTTATCACACTAGGGAGGACACCTAGTTAAACCTGAATTTCAGATAAACAATGGATCATTTGGGAGCAACACACTAAAAATGCATTCACTACACAATATTCAAATTTAACCAGATGTCCTATATTTTTGTTTGCTGTAACTGGCAACTCTACACCCACGGCAACAAAGAAATGGACGGTGTGTATTCTACAATCCCCAAGTGTAAGAAAACGTAAGAATACAAAATGCATAGGATAGAAATTTATAGGAGGCTGTCATCAAGGGGTTTTTGTTCCAAAGAGAGATTCCTTACAGGTTTCTTCTATATTACAGTTACATGAAATTAAAATTTTACTTACACCTGACTTTCACATCCAATGTATAAAGTGAGATACACTTCGATTTGATTTTAAGTTCTCTAGATGTTCTGGCTTATTTCTAACTTAAATGAATCATACAGGGGTTCAACCTCTGCTAAAGGAGGAAAAAAAAAAAAGAATATAAAGAGTTAAATTGTGAAGCCCTGAGACAGGAGACATGAAGAGAAATTTAAGAAAAAAGTCCCAAATTCCTATGCCACCCTGAATTCCTACCACGCTACCTGCCTTTTCTGGTGCAGGTTTTTATCCACACCCTCCCCCCGCATCTTGTTCCACCTACTCAAGACACTATGGCAAGGCTTTTGGAACCAAAGTCATGATCTTCACCTTCTGCATGTTTGCTTGATCCTTCCTCCAAGCCCACACAGAGGTAAGCATCTAGAATCCTAAAAGGCTGGCCAGCAATGACACCCTAGCAGGGCTGCTGGTCACATGAAGGAGCAGCCTGATTGTGTCTTCAACGTTCACCATCCTGGACACAATGAAGAAGTCACTGCCAAAGCAGTTCAGGTGGTTACAGTGACACTGTGTCCTCAAAACTGTTCTGTGGGCCAACCTGCCATTAGAATCAACACATTGACTATAACTGAACAGAGTGCTAAGGAAGAGACAAACATAAAACACAAACACAGGCAATTTTGAGAGGGAAAACAATGTCCTGGTCACGTGTTCACCACTGGGGAGCATGTAAACTGGTGGATGTGGAGAGCAATGTGGAAACCTCTACCAAACATGCAGAAGCACAAACTCTCTGCATCTACCATTCCAGCTCTGAACGCATAACCTTGGGGGAACTCTGCACATGTGCACAGGGAGACGTGAAAAAGAATGTTTCTGTCAGCATTGTTCATAACTAAAAGATTGGAAACAGCCTATATATACATGTCCAGTAACAGCAGAACATACAAACAAACAAACAAACAAAGGAGAGGACTCCTACTGCGTACTAATGGAATAATCTCCAGCAGTTAATATGAATGAGTCAGGGGGCACCTGGGTGGCTCAGTCGGTTGAGTGTCTGACTCTTGATTTCAGCTCAGGCCAGGATCTCATGATTAATGGATTTGAGCCCCATGATGGCTTCTGCACTGACAGTGTGGAGCCAGCTTGGGATTCTCTCTCTCCCTCCCCCCCCCCCTCTCTCTCTCTCCCCCACCCCTCCCCAACTCTGCCTCTCCCCTGCTCATGCTCTTTCTCTCTCTCTCTCTCTCAAAAATAAAAAATAAAAAGACAACTTCCCATTTAAAAAAAAATGAGTTAGAGCTAGATACAGCAACATGGATAAATCCTGTGGAAAAAAAAAATTAAAGAAGGCTATGGTATAGATGATGCCATTTAAACAAAGACCAAAAGCATGCAAAACACCACTTCTATATCTATGTTTGTCAGTCTCTCTCTCTCTGGAATGTAAGCTCAGGAAGACGCTGTCTTGTCCAAGGCTTTATCTCTAGTTCCTAGACATGGGCCTAGCATGTAGAATATGCCCGATAAATATGTGCTGAAAGAATCAGTACAAATGCCTATTTCAGGACAGTGATCACCCTTTGGTAAGTGGGAGGGAAGACTGGAGGGGGATCCACAGAGGGCTTTGATTATTCCAGAGTATTTTTCTATTATAAAAAAATCTGAACTATATAGAGCAAAATATCAACTTTGAGATAAAGCCAGAGTATTTAATGTTTTTATTATATTATCCCCTATAACTTCCCTATAATTTCCAAATGTTGCAACATTTCTTCATAAGAAATATTTTCAGGGGTACCTGGGTGGCTCAGTCAGTTAAGCATCCGACTTTTGATTTCAGCTTAGGTCATGATCTGGAGGTTTGTTGGTATGAGCCCAGAGTTGGGCTTTGTGCTGACAGCATGGAGCCTTCTTACAATTCTCCTCTCCTCTCCCTTCCCTCCCCTCTCTCTGCCCCTCCCTTGCTTGTGCCTCCATGTGCTCTCTCTCTCTCAAAATAAATAAAAGTTAAAAAATATATATTTTTAAAAATGTCACTAGGCAATGAAATGAAAATTACCAATTCCACATTCTATTGTGCAGATGAAAAGCTTCAAATATTGTCAGTATGACTGGCTGCTTTCCACGGCACAAGGTTAAGTTCTGGGTTCCGGGTCTATGTCCCACCCTCTAACTCTCACCCTGCTCTCTGTAGCTCTCTTCCCTGCATGGGGTCCCCAGTGCTGTACAGGGTTTCAAGGAGGCAGGAGACACACTAATGCCTTTTGAGAGCAGTGAGTCATTGCCGGGTGACTCTTGCAACTCAAAGTGTGGTCTGGGCAGCATTGACATCCCCTGGGAGCTCATAAGAGAGCCAGAAGCTTAGGGCACCTGGGTAGCTCAGCTGGTTGAGTGTCCAACTTCAGCTCAGGTCATGTCTCACGGTCTGTGGGTTTAAGCCTCGCATCAGGCTCTGTGCCAACAGCTCAGAGCCTGGAGCCTGCTTCAGACCCCGTGTCTCCCTCTCTCTCTGCCCCTTTCCCACTTCACTTTATCTCTTGCTATCTCTCAAAAATAAATAAACACTTAAAAAAAAAAAAAAAAGGTAGAAGCTTAGGTCTGGCCCTAATTTACTGCAACAGAATCTGCAACTTAATGGGCTCCCAGGTAGAGAAATCTGCTTGAGAGGCTCTGGTCCAGATCTTCCAGAAATCCCTGCCACGAACAGTGCAGCTGTCTTCCAGATCATCCTCTGTCCCTGTATTCACATGTGAATGACCCTCTCTCAGCTCTTTTACAAAGAGCTTCATGATTTCCAGAACTTTACACCACAGTCTTGGTGCAACGGGGCCAGGACTTAAATCAGATGGGATCACACAGAATCACCCATGTGAAAATGCAGGGCACCATTTTAAAGTGGGCAGACCCCTGAAACTAGGTGAGAATTAGAAAAGTCCCCACCTAACCTGGAATGTAGCAGGATCTGCCAGTTTATTTTTACAAAAGCTCTCTTATTAAGCAAGAAATTTGTTTCCTTTTATCCACGACATATTTAACACTTATAGAATTTAACAGCATCTGGCGAGGATGTGGAGAAACGGGCACCCTCCTACACTGTTGGTGGGAATGTAAACTGGTACAGCCCCTCTGGAAAACAGTGTGGAGGTTCCTCAAAAAATTAACAATAGAACTCCCCTATGACCCAACAACAGCACTGCTAGGAATTTACCCAAGGGATACAGAAATGCTGAGGCATAGGAGCACATGTACCCCAATGTTCATAGCAGCACTCTCAACAATAGCCAAAACATGGAAAGAGCCTAAGTGTCCATCAACAGATGAATGGATCAAGAAGGTGTGGTTTATCTATACCATGGAATACTACATGGCAATGAGAAACAATGACATCTGGCCATGTGTAGCAACATGGATGGACCTTGAGGGTGTTATGCTGAGCGAAATAAGTCAGGCAGAGAAGGACAAATATCATATGTTTGCACGTATAGGAGGATTAGGAGGAACTTAACAGAAGACCATGGGGGAGAGGGAGGGGAGAATAGTGGGGGGGAGGGAGAGAGGCAAACCATGAGAGACTCTTGAATGCTGAGAACAAACTGAGGACTGATGGGGGGGGGTGGGGGAGATGGACATGGAGGAGGGCACTTGTGGGGATGAGCACTGGGTGTTATATGGAAACCAACTTGACAATAAACTATTTGTAAAAAAGAAAAATGGGAAAAGATTCTCATTTTACAAATAAAGTTTCCTTTAGCTTTAAAAAAAACAATTTAAGAGCATCTACCTACTACTTAAAAAAATTTTTTTAAGTTTATTTATTTTTGAGAGAGAGAGAAAGAGAGAGAGAGAGAGAGAGAGTGAGCGAGCAAGCGAGTGAGTGCACAAGCTGTGGAGGGGCAGAGAGGAGGAGAGGCAGAATCCCAAGCAGTCTTTGTACCATCAGCACAGAGCCCGATGCAGGGCATGACCTAAGCTGAGATCAAGAGTCATGCTTACACGAGTGTTGTCACCCAGACACCCCTACCTACTGCTTCTTTTATCTAGAACTATCAGATTCACCCTGGACTGAATGTTTGAGAAGGAAATGACAAATATAAAACATAAGTCTGCTCTGAAGAGACACACTTTCCTGGGCCGCTACATGCAATCTTCTTTTTTGCCAGGCTGATTTATTTGCCTCCTGATGCTTTTTCTTTCTGGGCCCCATGAGAGAACAGATGCTCTGCATTTCATGCCAGTTCAGGCAGAAGAGAAAGCAAAGTGGTGTGGCTTCTTACTTGGCACCCTGTGGTCTTCCACGTGCTGTTGTGGCTGTCCCTGAAATAACACGGTGACTGCAGTTACCACTGAGAGCAGGGTGGGCGTGTGCTGGCTACTGTCCTTGCTTTTATTCAGCATGGCTGTTGCATAGTAGGTACCGATATGCAGACTCTCTGGAGTCATCCATGTATATTACTCCTCTGAGAACAAAGAACAGCACTTACTTGCATTTCCAATGGAACAAAATTACTATCAGAACCTTCCTTATGAAGGTTCTATTGTTATTATCATTATTTTATTTTACAAGTGGGGAAATGATTAAGCTTAGAGTTACAAATGATTTGAAAGAAAATATTCAGTAATACAACCTGGGGCTCTCAATTTCTCCCATTCCAACAAAAAACTGTATTTTTTTGATAGATGAAGACTTAGGTCTAATGAGTCAGAATGTATGAGTTTGAGAAAAATGAAAGAATTGCACACTCAAATGAGTAGCTATAAGACGGAGCTAACAAAAGAAGCCCAAGAATGGAGAAAGGATGGGAAGAATGTGGTTCCAGGAAAGAGCCCTGACTACCAGGCTCTGTCACCAGATGGCTGTTAAAGGGCTAAGGCAAGTCACACAGTCTCCTTAGTTTTCTCATCTTTCAAACAAGGTCTCTGGACCAGAGGATGGCTAAGATCCCCAAGGGACGTGATACTGCCAAGATGGACAAGGAAAATGGAGCGCGTGTTCTGAATCAGCAAAGAGTCTGCTGGTAACACAGACAGAACTTTGTAGTTGGGAGCCCAAGAGTGAGAAACGCTGCCTCAGGTACTATGTCTAAGAGCAGGAATTACCTAAAAAGTGATCATTCGTGTTAGTGAGGCCTGCACAAGAGCCAGTGGAAGCTTGTTCAACATGGGAAGACTGTAATGAGAGGAGACTATATCATGCTTTGTATTTTGTTACATGATTATTGCCACCCCTCCACACATTTTTTAAAAGCAAAGGGTAGCTCTTTATTAAGACTTTTCAGTACTATAATAAATTGTTTTTTTAATGTTTATTTATTCTTGAGAGAGTAAGCAAGAGCATGAGTGGGGGAGCAGCAGAGAGAGAGTGGGGGGGAGACAGAGAATCTGAAGCAGGCTACTGGCTCCAAGCTGTCAGTACAGAGCCTGACCCAGGGCTCCAACTCACAAAGTGCGAGATCATGACCTGAGCTGAAATTGGATGCTTAACCGACTGAGCCATCCAGGGGCCCCAGTACTACATTCAAAGTTGATACCCAGTGAATATGTTTTTCGTTCAAGTACATCTAAGGCTCTATTTATATGTATCTTAGAAATTCTTAACTATTTATATATATCTCAGAAATTCTTCACTTTTCTAAGCCACAATGTAGTCATTCTAATATTACACCAAGATTTACTGAGGTATCTCTGGCCTTACCCAAATCTTAGATTAGAAATAAAATTGGAAATATCTATTACCCGTTGTGCTGGAATCTTACTTCTCAACACTATGCAAAATTTCAACCATGCAGGAAGTCGACCCATATAATCACTAACCAGATTCCAGGATTAACATTTTACTAAATTTGCTTTATCACACATATATCAGGACCCATTCCATGACCCATCTTAAAAAAATGCATTTCATGGTCATGTATATTCATACATGTGATAAAATTACATGCAATAAACACACACACAGGAGTGCAGGTAAAACTGATGAAATCCAAATAAGGTCAATGCATTGTATCAATGTCATTTTCGGGTTAGTATATAGTGCTATAGTTATGCAAAATGCCACCATTAGGAGAAACTGGGTGAAAGGTATAAGATCTCTCTTTTATTTTCCGTAAGTGCATGAGAATCTACAGTTATCTCAAAATAAAAAGTTTAAAAAAAAAGGAGAAAAAAAGCATTTCAAAGTAAGTTTCTCATTGGGGTTTTACCTTTTTCCCACACCTGAGTCTTTGGAAGGTTGATGTCCAGGTAGATGTGGGTGTGGGTAGGCTGACATTGGAACCCCAGATAGAGTGTCATTAAAAGGGGACTTCCAGGTTCTATGCACACGATCAGGGATTTCTCCAGGGAAGTGATGCTCACTGTGATCATAAAATGGTCTGAGCTCTTGTTGATGCTGGTGGGATAGGTTTCCATGCTAACATTTCTCTGCAGCATGATACAAAATGAGACAGTTAATCAATCTTCATGATGGTCCATCCCTGGATGCCTTCTAGTCTCCTTTCTAGTGATAATGGAATGTAACTTCCTAGGTCTTTCTCTCTAAATATCTGTAGGGATTAAGGGAGAATATGTAATCTCAGACCCAAAACACCTCGTAAAGGTAAGGTAGTTCTTGCAAAAGTTCCCAAGTGAAGATGTGAATAATAAAATAATGGCACTTCCATGAATTTAAAATGACTTCCTTCCATCATTCTCCAAGAATTCCTATTCCCTTCTATTTCATTCCTTATAATCAAGTCATACCTCAATATCTTCCACTAAATCATGGACTTGGGACAATTGATGATTAGAGCTTAGCAAAACACCTCTAATGCTTCCAACAATGTCCTTTTCAGCAAAATCCCTGAAGGGAGTGAAGCTAGTCCTGTTACCTAGAGACAAAAAAATCTGTTTCATCAACTGCTGAAATCTGTTACCTAACACCCGGATAGGTAATAATGTGTCAGATATCAAAAATTAAAGTAAATGTTGGCATTTCCCTCCTTGTTAATATCTCAAAGAAAATAATATTTCTCATTATAACATCATATGAGGAAGAATTAATTAAAGATGAGTCATTTACCTGTGACCCTTACAATTTTTTTTTCACATTTTTATACCTGGAGGATTCATTATTACTAGGAAAGAAGTATTCTGCTCTCCAGGATAAGACAGCAATCTTGCTCTTGTTTGTTAGGTAACTGCCAAAAGAAATACAATATATACTGATATGGATAAGTTTGTATATTGAATCAATCTTTTTTTTTTTTAATGTTTTATTTATTTCTAGGAGACAGAGAGAGAGACAGCGTGAGCAGGGGAGGGTCAGAGAGAGAAGGAGTCACAGACTGAAACAGGCTCCAGGCTCTGAGCTGGCAGTCAGCACAGAGCCCAACGCGGGGCTCGAACCCACGAACCATGAGATCATGACCTAAGCGAAAGTCGGACGGTTAACTGACTAAGCCACCCAGGCGCCCCTGTATATTGAATCAATCTTATTCAGATATTCCTAGGTTTATATATAAATAATCAAGAGTTGAGATCAATTCAAACCATAACACAGAATCTTAGTTAAATCCAGAAGTCTGTTTAATGCTTCCAACCTCTACAGTGTATCATTTTTTAAAATATTCATTTATTTATTTTTGAGAGAGAAAGAGAAGGACCTAGCGCACACATGCACACAAGGGGAAGAGCAGAGGGAGAGAGAGAATCCTAAGCAGGCTCTGTGCTGTTAGTGCAAAGCCCAACGTGGGGCTTGATCTCACGAATCATGAGATCATGACCTGAGCCAAAACCAAGAGTTGGATGCTTAATTGACTGAGCCACCCAGGCACTCCTACAGTGGATTATTTTTAAGAGGCCTCCATTCTTGCCATCATAAAACAGAAATCCATGGCACCCAGGCTTCTTTTGTTTGGTCTGGTCAGCTTGCGTTTCACAGTGCATCATGGTGTATTTAAACGCCTGATGCCATCAATCTCAACTCCATTTGGGTCAGAATCCATTTCATACTCACTTGAACATTAAATCTGGGTGTCTGTTGAAGAGCTCTTCCAAAGCTGAGGCCGATGGAAAGCCTAACCTCACAGGTGCTGGGGACCCAAGGGTATAGAGGTTCAGGGGCCAGGTTGACATGTTTTAGCTAATGAAGGAGAAATTAAATGGAAATCAACTTCTGTGTGTTTTCTAATGATCAGAAACCAAAAATGAACCACTCCCTCCTCTTCTTCTGTTACCTGCTCAGCATTGATAGAGGTCAAAGTCACTAAAGCCCAGAAAAATGGTTCTGCTGTAGAAATGTTTCCTGGATATTCCCAAGGGCCAGCAAGGCCATTTCCAGCGTATTTTCTACCTACATTTAGAAGGAAATACCATATGACCTGTGTGGCCTTTGTGGATAATGATTTTGGAGGGGCTGGGAGGGGGACAAAAATCTTGACAGTGATATACTGAAAGATGACATTCTTCGCAAAGCACCCAAAGAAAGTATTTGTAGTCTGGCTAAAGACTCACTATCCTTTGTACCAACTAAGAGGACCATCCAAGGAAATATTTCTTTCTCCCATGATATAAGCTCCCCTAGACCTACTTAGGACAATTTTTAAAAATTTTTATTTTTAGTAATCTCAACACCCAGCGTGGGGTTTGTACTTATGTCCTAGAGGTCAAGAGTGGTGTGCTCTATCAACTAAGCTAGCCAGGTGTCCCTGCCTTTGACCTACTTAGAGGTTTTTAAAAACAGTTTTATTACAATGAAATTCACACATACAAATCACTCACTTGGAGTATACAATTCAATGTTTTTCTTTTCTAGTATATTCACAGTGCAACTATCACCATGAGCTAATTTTAGATCATTTTCATCTCCCTAAAATAAAGCCAGTACCCAGCATCCAGTTGTCACTATCCATTCTCCTGTCCCCGTGCCCCCCCAAGTTCCAGACAATCACTAATCTACATTTTGTGTCTAGAGATTGTGGACATTTCATAAAGTGGAATCACAATACTTGGTCTTTTGTGTCTGGCTCCTTTCACTTAGTTTAATGTTTTCAAGGTTCACTCATGTTGTAGTACTTCATTCTTTTTTGTTGCTAACAAATATACCCCATTTTATTTACCCATTGGTCAGATTGTGGACATTGGGCTATTTCCACTTCAGCTGTTTGACTATTTGAATCATACTGCTACAAACATTAGTGTGCTAGTTTTCGCATGGATGTATATGAGCCTATTCCAAGGGGTAGGATTGCTAGCTCACATGGTAAGTTCCATTTTTAACCTTTTGGGGAACTGTCAAACTGTTTCCCAAAATGGCTGTATCATTTCAAAATCAAATAATGTATGAGGGCTCCAATTTGTCTGCCTCCTTGTCAACTCTTGTGACTGTCTTTCCGGGTACAAAGTAGCATTTCATTGTGGTGTGGCTTGCATTTACATAGACTAATGATGTTGAACAACTCATATGAATACAAAAATGCAAATTTAATCTACCGAGTGTCTACTATATGCCAAACACCGTACTGATCTCTTTTCACTGGATTATAGAGCTAGGTGGGCTTGGCTCACAGATGAGACAGCAAGGAAGACCCAGAGCAGGCCTAACAGCGGTCTCTTCAGTGGTGCTGCCTGGCTGGACACTCTTTATTGATCTAGGGAGAGCTGTGTGCTATCTGGATCTGCCAAGATTTAAAAAGTTTCTGAACCGAGTTCATCAGCAGCAGATACTGCACTTACCTGCTCAATGTCATGCTTGGACCTTTGCGGCCTCCCACCAGCTTCCATTACAGTGCCAAGGGAGTGGGAGAGGCGACGGTCAGGGTGTTTTGAAGCCCAGACTGCTTTGCTCTGAAATGCACTCTCTGGTGACTTCTCGCTCCGGTAAACTGGACTGATGACACTAATCTGGGGGATTTAGGAAGCTATCACACAGAGCTATTTCTGTTTCAAATTTACTTGTGTTCCTCTTGTAAGGAGTTCAGTGTTCCTTATGCACTTCAATGCATTTTTAAAAATATTTATTTATTTTGAGAGAAAGAGGGGTGGGGATAGGGGCAGAGAGAGAATCCCAAGCAGGCTCTGAGCCATCAGCATGGAGCCTGATGCGGGGCTCCATCTTATGAACCCTGAGATCATGACCTGAGGTGAAATCAAGAGTCACATGCTTAACCCACTGAGCCACCCAGGTGCCCCTCAAATGCATTTTTATAAAAAGCAATATTACAGGAGTGTGCGGCTGAATGTGGAGCCTGCTTAAGATTCTTTCTCTGCCTCTGCCCCTCTTCTCTCCTTGCACTCTAATTTAAAAAAAAAAAAAAAAGGAAAAAGGAAAAAAAAGAGATACACAAAAAAAACCCCAGCATTACAACTTGGCAGTAAAAGAAAATATATCACATCTTACCTATAGGAGGGATTTGTATTTCATGTCATTCTTTTTAAAAATTAAAAAAAAAATGTTTAATGTTTATTCATTTTTTTTGAGAGAGAGACTGAGTGCAAGCGAGGGAGGGGCAGAGACAGAGGTAGACACCGAATCTGAAGCAGGCTCCAGGCTCCAAGCTTTGAGCATACAGCCTGATATATGACTTGAACTCATGAACTGTGAGATCATGACCTGAGTCGAGGCTGGAGGCAGAGAAAAGAGTGAGACAGACACTCTGAAGTGGGCTCCATGCCCTGACAGCAGAGAGCCCAATGTGGCGCTTGAACTCACAAACCATGAGATCATGACCTGAGCTGAAATTGGATGCTTAACCAGGCATCCCTGTATTTCAGGTTATTCTAAGGAACTCAAAGAACCCTCCTGAAGAAGTAGATCAAATACCTAATTAACAAAACTAAGCTAAAAAAAAGGCAAAGAGCAGTACTGGCTTAGACATCAAGTAGATGATCCTTTGAAACTCAAAAAAGCACTCAAGACTGACTTAAAATAGAGATCAAGAGAAGTTCTAAATAAAACTGAAAACCCCAATTCTCCTTTCTGTAGGCTGTTCTCATGCAAAACAAGTGAGAAGGTTAAGCAAAGTGACGGAATATCTACTGCGGGTATTACTATTTTTGTTTCGAAATGTTATTTTTGTTTTCAAAGTTATATTTACTTAAAACTTCCTCATTTAAAAAAGAAAAAATAAACAAAGTTGAAAAAACATGGGCACAAAATATTTGCAACTTCTGTAACAAAAGGTCAACATCAGTAATAAATAAAGCTCTCTTAGAGACACGTAAGTAAAATGACAACTCAATGTTGGGGAAATGGACAAAGGACCTGAAGAAGCCACTGAGGGAAGAAACAGACATGGTCAATCAATATATAAGATAACGTTCAACCTCCTTAGCAATCAATAAAATATTCCCTCCTTTTCTTTCTTTTCATGCCTTTGAAATTAGAAGTGTGGGGCAATAGTTGGTGGGGATGTAAAACAGTGTCTTTTAAGAGACAATTTTATCAGCTACTGAAAATTTAAAAGCCCCTCAGTTCTATTTCTGGCACTCTATTCCATAGAAACATCTACATAAGTACTTGGTGATGTAGCTACATGCATGTCCATGGATATGCTATTTGTGAGAGGAGACAAACAAAAAATGTCTAACTATACATGAAGAAAAATTGGTTCATTTGTGTGTACTGACATGAAAAGATATCCATGACACAACATTAAGTAAAAACATCCAAGAGGCTGGGGCACCTGGGTGGCTCAGCTGGGGAGCCTCTGGCTTCAGCTCAGGTCATGATCTTATGGTTCATGAGTGCAAGACCAGCACTGGGCTCTCTGCTGTCAGCGCAGAGCCCGCTTTGGATCCTCTCTACCCCTCTCCTGCTCTCTCTCTTTCAAAACTAAATAAACATTAGAAATATTTAAAAAAACAACAAGGGGCTGAAAAACTTGAATACTTTAGTGTCATTTTTGTTAAAACAACAAATCTGTTTAAACATAGAAAAAAATCTGGCAGATTATGCACAGCAAATTAACAATAATCTGATAATATTAATGACATCTAGAAAATGGGATTAGCAAGAAGGACAAAGATAGTGATGGCTATTGCTTTATAGCTTTAATTTTTAATGCTTTTATGCTTTAATTCAGACTTTTAAATAACAAGCACGTATTACTTCCGTAATTAAACATAAACCAGCCTAAACAAAGCAGTGCAGGTTCTATTTATATGCTTATCATAGATATCTGAAAATATAGGACATGGAAAAGAAAACAAAATTAAAATTCTCATGAATTTCATTCTCTTAAGTTATTTATGGGTAGGGAGCAGAGAGAGGCATGAATAATTGCTGGGAATAACTTGGCTGCGGGGGCACCGATGGCCCATGTCTGTTTCAAAGCTGAACTGCTCTATTTCGGGCAAGGAATAGGTCTATTTCTGTCTCCCATGATGTCTAACAAATGCATCAGAAAGACAGTAACCTGATAAATGAACAAAAGAAGATAAATACAGCACATCTGAGAAGGTCATTACTGATCAATTTGCGATCTGCAGACTTAAAGGTACAAATACCCTGCCTGAGTGTTAAACGGAGTCTCCACAGAATAGCTCACAAGGCTGAATTCTGCACAGGGCACAATCTCCACATTACGTATTTTCTATTTTATACACGTTTTGTCTGCTTCACTTTCCCCTTTCTCATACCGTGTTTCCTCCCGATCACCCTCTTGCTTACCTGAGATGACTTAGAAAATTCTGGGATAAAGGCTGTCCATTTCTGGAGCACCTCACAAGCTCTTCAAAGTCTGCTGTGAGTTTGCAAACTGTGAATCACTTCATTCAAGCTCCTGCTGGCTCATTTGTGACCTGTTGAGAATGAAGGATTTTGTCAAAATTATTTCTAGAAAATGGCTGCACTTTAGTAGTTTCAGACCTTGTTTGAACAATAATTGACCTCCAATAATATTACAAGCTCAATGAATCACAGGCTCCCCCTAAGAGTCACTACTTTCAGAGGCTTTTCTGCAAATAGAATGTTCACCTCTTCCACACAATAGAGGAAAGAGATACCAAGGTCATACAGTGATACCTACAGGGACAGATGGGTCTGGGAATAGATTTATGAGAGGAGTTTAAATCTCATGGCCATGATCAAAAGTGGAGGATGCCTGGAAACGAAAACAACAAAAAATTTTCTATTCAGAAGTATGCGTATTTCCTCAGGTTTTCTGCTGGTTCCTGTCTCTCCATTTAAGAGTTTGTGTTCAAGAGGGAAGTACAGGTAGTTGAAATTCCACATGGCAGGAGGTGGGAGGCAGAAACTCTCAGAAAACAAACCCAGAAGTCTGGACATGGTCCTAAAACTTTAAAAGGCCACTGTTTTTAAACTGGAAGTCCAGCCCTGAGATAATCTCTGTTTACACCAACTACTTGATACAATTTCTAGAGAACAGCCCATTGCAGCTTAATTCAGTCATGTATTCAATAAATTTTTAAAAAATGGTTTATTTATTTTTGAGACAGAGACAGAGCACAAGCGGGGGGTGGGGGGGTGGGGGGTAAGGCAGAGAGAGAGGGAGACACAGAATCTGAAGCAGGGTCCAGGCTCTGAGCTGTCAGCACAGAGCCTGACATGGGGCTCTAACACATGAACTATGAGATCATGAGCTAAGTTGAAGTTGGCCACTTAACGAATTGAGTCACCCTTGTGTCCCTCAATAAGTCATTATTAAGTGCCTACTGGGTGTTGCGAGGTTCAGGAGTTAAAGCAGTTAAAGTCAGTTATGATTTGGCCCTTGTGGGTCATACAAGCGAACAGGGTTATTCCTAATCTGTAGAGTCTGTAGGGGGTTGGAACAGTTATAGAATGATCTTAGAATTGAGGACCACACAGTTTTGGTTTTATATTTTGGGACCAAGGTGAAAATGAGCAGGAATAAAGGTATGAGTGAGACCCAGATGCCACACAACTGCACATTTTTCAATGAAGGTCAAGGTCTCATTGAATGGCCTTCTAGCTGCAGTCAGGAAGGACACTGAGGGTGCCTTATCTGATGTTTTAGAGCAGTGTGAACTTGGGCTGAATCATGGTGGATCCCACCATTTATTTCACCTTTCTTCAATAGCTCTTAATAAATCTTTATGGTTGTCTTCATATAAGTTTTGTCCATCTTTGGTTAGATTTACTCCTAGGTACTTGCTTTTTTTTTTTTAATCTTATTTTCTAACTGCTGCTGATATGTAAAAATACAATCAGCTTTTGTCTACTGATCTGGTATTCTCTGAATATTTCTAATAATTTATCTGTAGGCCCTTCGGGTATGCTACACTTCACACTTCTCTTTATTTAATAAGGAAAACAAAACCCTCTCTGTTGAAGCTACTGTAGATCCGTTTTTCTGCCAGGAGAACACAATGCTAACTTAAACAATAGTGAACACGTAGTTTCCAGTACCACTGAAAGTAGAGCCAGCATAAACAGGAATACTTTTTAGCAAGGACATGTTAGCTTGCATGTAAGTAGGGCTTGTGTTGAGAGAGAGAGAGAGGCAGGATGATTTTCTTCAGTCAACATTATCAAAGTGGCTTTGTTTTTTTTTTTTGTTTTTTTTTTAAGTTTGTAGGGGAGAAAAGAGAACCAAGAGAAAAGGAGCACTGAGGTGGTGGAGTAGGAAGAACAGTCCAGAAGGGTGTGCCGCTGCTGGAAAATTATGGCAAGTGAACAACACTTCCTCCCTGTCTGAAGCACTAAATAATCACATTAAATAAAAATAAGGCGTTAAATGCTGAAGTGGGTATAAAACCCACTGTGGAGTGTCCCCGTGGACTTGTTTAGTGCTTGCTTTTGATCGGGACACATGCTTACCCGTCAGGCACTCTTAGGTAGAGTTCTGCTCAGAGGTAAGGGGTGAACCAGGCCCCTTCCTCACATGTGTTCCTGCAACATCACCAAAATAGAAGAATAGGAGTGCTTCACAAAGGTACCCTGTGTGACCTGTTTTCCGTATTTACCTGATCATCGCCTCTTGAAATGATATCTGTAAGCTAGAGGTGAAGACCTCAGGATGGGAGTCCTCTTTGGGGCTTGAGGTCATCCCCACCGGAGCTTTCCCAGCCTGTGTTTCAGATGCAGGCCGGCTGCCAGGCACAGGCACTGAGGTGACAGACAGGACCTGCCCCGTGACTCCTGGAAGTGCTGAAGGAAAGGGGCTGATGGAACCGCACAGGCACAGGGTCTTGGGCTGAAAGGTACGTAAAGGAAAAGTCGGAAGCCGATTTTACCAAATGAAAGGGGAGGCAGTGTTTCCAAGACAGCAGGGGCCTGGAGGAGGCTCAGCACGGGCTGACTTGGGTGGTAAAGCATCACTCCTCTGCCCGCTGTGTTGAGAACGGACACGAAAGGGTCAAGGGTAGAAGCAGGGACGCAAGCAGGAGACGGATGTGAAGTGTAGCCGGGAGATGCTGGTGGCCTCGACTAGGCGACTTAACGACATAACGGTGAAGCTGGTCAGAAGTGGTTAGGTTTGGCCATATGGAAGGCTCTAAGAAGTCCTGCAGTCAAAAACATTTGTTTTCTTCTGGAAACATTTGAGGCAATGTTGGTTGCTATCCTGCAGAACATCGCTTGGCAAATACTGACTTACGGGATTTTTACTTCATCCCTGTTCTTTTATGTTGCTAGAATGCTTATTTTTGGCAGTGGGTCAAATAAAAGTAAATCTGTATTTAGACATCCACCGAAAGGTTTCTATGTAGGACACAAAGGCAAGGAGATGGAGAAATTTCCTGAATGTGAAATTTTATAGATTATGCAGAGTGTCTACTTTTATTTCCCTTTTGCTCTGATTTTTTTCTTTTTTAAAAAAGAAACTTGAATTTTATGGCATTTCAATATCCTTTTGTAAGACGTCACAAGTTCTTTCAGGTATGAAGCAGGGAATAAAGAGCCAGTCAACGAATGATCATTTTAACAACAAGAAAGCCAGAGCTAGGCTTTAAAAATGTCGTTCTGAGACCTTTAAAGCATTAGACATAGGCATTAGAACCATTAAATCTGGTTCTTCCCTGTATATAAGTACTGTCCTTATGAGAAAACTACATTCAGAGCGCTCGCTGAGACAGAGCTGCATTCTGGCAGGAGCCACCAGGAATGACATAGATTGACAATGCCAGGTGTGTGCGTTACTTACAGGATTAGCACGAGCAGGGAGGGGACGTGATTGCGGGGTGAGCAGCTGCCACAGAAAGAAGCAGAATAAATCCAAGTACAAGTCTAGGAGAGAAGTATTTCTTTCTATTTTACCTAAGGATGTTTCATTCTCGGCAAAAAACAGTGTAAACCATTTTATATGGAGAGCAAACTGATCATTTCTCACTGTTGATAATTCTGTAGACAAGCTGGGATTCTAGAGCTGAGGCTTCACAAATCACTAATGTCTCATCTCCGCTTATTCTCCAAAGGCTCTCTGTATAAAAACATTAAATCAGAGCAATCGTGAAGTTGCCAGTACATAAATATTACTGCAGAAATATCTGCTTCATAATTTTAGCAAAAGGAGGAGCTCTCTATTAATAAACCACAGCATTTTTCTGATCTTTCCTCCCTTCTTTCCTTTCTTTCCTTATGGTACTCTTAGATGAGATTGGCCAGGTTCAGGCTGTAGTCTGATTTTTCTAGAAAATGATCATTTACAACATTTCACCAGATCACCATTATTGCTTTCATTCCCTTTCCACATTTTCCAGTAAGAAAACCATGATCTGAAGGCACTATCAGTGTGTTAACATGGCTATGTAAGGGGGGCCTGGGTGGCTCAGTCAGTTAAGACTCAGACTTCAGCTCAGTTTATGATCTCAAGGCTCGTGAGTTCGAGCCCCACATCAGGCTCTGTGCTGACAACCTGGAGCTTGCTTTAAATTCTGTGTCTCCCTCTCTCTCTGCCCCTCCCCTGCTTTTGTGCTCTCTCTCTCTCAAAAATTAATTTTTAAAAAATTTTTTTTAAAGTTGAAGCTCAGTTTTCTTTTTTAAAAATTTTTTTTAAAAATGTTTTATTTATTTTTGAGATAGAAGGAGAGACAGCATGAGCAGGGAAGGGTCAGAGAGAGAGGGAGACACAGAATTGAAACAGTCTCCAGGCTCTGAGCTGGCTGTCAGCACAGAGCCCAATGCAGGACTCGAACCTACGAACTGTGAGATCATGACCTGAGTTGAAGTCGGATGCTTAACTGACTGAGCCGCCCAGGCGCCCCTCAAAAATAAATTTTAAAAAACCCTCATGGCTATTTGCTATTAACTTAGGTTGATTTCTTTCAAGGCATGTGTGTCTAGACTCACTACAATTTATCTGCCTATAGCAAGCCTACCCTGCTCTCTCGATCTCTTGCTGTAACAGTCCCTGTGTTGTTGATGGGACTGGTATATTTAGCAGCAGAATCATTGTAGCCACTACTGCTGGGGGAAGACATTGCTCTGAAATGTTAGCCGCCATGTTTTTCTATCAAGGAATGCAGGATGGAGAATAGAAGAGAGAAACTGGATTCTGATGGCGCCTGGTGGCTCAGTCAGTTGAGCATCAGCTCAGGTCATGATCTCACAGTTTGTGGGTCTGAGCTCCACATCAGGCTTTGCACTGACAGCAAAGAACCTACTTAGGATTCTCTCTCCCTCTCTCTCTCTGTCCCTCCCTTTCTCGGTTTCTCAAAATAAATGTCCGACTTTGGCTCAGGTCATGATCTCATGTCTCGTGGGTTCAAGCCCCGCGTCAGGCTCTGTGCTGACAGCTCAGAGCCTGAAGCCTGCTTCGGATTCTGTGTCTCCCTCCCTCTTTCTCTCTCTCTCTCTCTCTCTCTCTCTCTCTCTCTGCCCCTCCCTGGCTCGTACTCTGTCTCTTTCTCAAAAATAAATAAACATTAGAGAATTTTATTTTTTATTTATTATTTAAAAAAATCCTTATGTCTTTATTTTATTCTGAGAGACAGAGAGTGAGCAGGGGAGGGGCAGAGAGAGAGGGAGACACAGAATCTGAAGCAGGCTCCAGGCTCTGAGCTGTCAGCACAGAGCCCGACGCAGGGCTTGAACCCACGGACAGTGAGATCATGACCTGAGCTGAAGTCGATGCTTAACTGACTGAGCCACCCAGGCTCCCCTTGAAATTTTTTTTAAATTAGAAACTGGATTCTGAGGCAAAAGACCTGAACTCTTGAACTGGTCTGCCTTTTACTTTAAGGCAAATGACTTAACTTCCTACCTCTCTCATCTGAAGAATGAGGATAATAACATCTAATGATGTGAAAATTAAAGCAACGTATGTATGGTTGAGAAAAAGGTCACTTTGGATTAGGGTCATTAGTTCAACAGCTCATGGGAACAGGGAACTGATCCTGTATTTCAACTGGAGCTCTGAAAGGGGTTATGACCACCAGGTGAAATCAACAAGCTGCTGAACCAAGGGTGACCCCGTTTCTTGGTCTATGGACAAACACCGTGTTTGGAGAGACCTTACCTTAAAACAGTAAAAAACCAGGGCACCTGGGTGGCTCAGTTGGTTGAGCATCCAACTTCGTCTCAGCTCACGGTCTCATGGTTTGTGAGTTCAAGCTCCACACCAGACACTTTTTGCAGTCTTCAAAGAGCCCTCTTCAGATCTTCTGTCCTCCTCCTTTGCTCCTCCCTCGCTTCCTCCTTCACCTCCCTCTCTCTCAAAAATAAACATTAAGGAAAAAATTTTTTAAAAGATGAGAACAAAACCAACAAAAAGAAGTCCATGAATGTCACTCTGGACCTCAGGAATACAATCGAGAGGACTTAGAGGAACATATACCTCTGAAAATTACCAATAGCAAAATCCAGAAAAATATTTCACAAAGCTGTTTAACATCCTTAATATAAGCAGAAGTCTTAAAGATAAACCAACGGAAGCTAAAATGCACTAGAATCAGATAAATTAAGGAGAAATAAATAATACTGGAGGACTTCGAGAGAGCTAAAATGCTACAGAAAAATTGAAATCCACACTGGAGGTAATACAGAACTGACGTGGAAAAATCAAATCAGTGAGGTGGAGGATTAAAGTGAGGAGTTCGCCCAAAAAGCAACAGAGTGATACGTGCAAAACCATTCTTTTCATTTAAAAGAATGACAGGAGAGACATGGAGGACGGGAACCTGTAATTTAACACATAGATAACTGTATTTTTTTTTTTTTTTTTTTTAGGAGAGAGAGAATGTGCACCTGCATGCAGGGGAGGGGCAGAGGGAAATAAAGAATCTTTTTTTTCAAGTTTATTTATTTGGTGGGGGGGGAAGGGATGGGGCAGAGAGAAAGGGAGAGAAAAAATCCCAAGCAGGCTCCACACTGTCAGTACAGTACGTGGGGCTCAAACCCACAAATTTTGAGTTGAGGTCAGAATGCTTTAAAACCAAATGAGCCACCCAGGCATGCCGAGAGAGAGAATCTTAAGCAGTCTCCATGCTCACTGTGGAGCCGATGCAGGGATTGATCCCATGAACCTGGGATCATGATCTGATCCGAAATCAAGAGTCAAATGCTCAACTAAGCCATCCAGGTGTCCAGATAACTGATATTTCTTTAAGACAAAATCATAACTAATGAAAGAGAAGTGACAGATAGGTAGAAGAGAATAAAATTGTCATGAACCAAGAAAAACGTGTATATGGAACATGACATTCTAGGCAAAATCAGTGAAAAGTGGCCTAGATACATGCTAAGAGAATTTCTGTATCACAAAGATTAAAAAATTTTACAATCTGATAGAGGAAAAAAGGCTACCTATTATTTTAAAAATAGGCCAACTATAAGGCTACCTATTATTTTAAAAATAGGCTAACTATAGTCTTTTCCACTATAGCATTAAATGACAAAAGACAAGGGAACGATGTCTACAGTTTTGAGGGGAAGACTGATGAAGGAAATAATGTTACTTGTATTGCAGAGACTATTGCTTATTCCACCACTGTGCCTTCCTTCCAAGGAAACATGGTAGCTCCACTAAAGACTACATTTCCCAGCCTTCCTTGCTTGCAGCAGTATGGCTATGTAATCAGGTCCTGGCCAATGGTATATGAGAAGTAACTGGTATAATATCCAGACTGTGCCCTTAAAGAAAATGATCAGGCTTCCCACCTTCATGTCTCCCCTTCCCACTTGATAGAATGTGAACATGGAGGCGGGGAGCTAACACAACTTTTATAGACTATGAGATGCAAGTTCCAAGTTGGCAGCAGAACAAGGCAGAAAGAGCTTGGGCCCTGTAAACTGCGGAGCCATCTTATCAGCCCTGAACTGCTTACTTACACTGTTACATAAGTGGAGAGAAATCGACTTCCACTTTGTTCAAGCTACCATTTTGACTTCTGTTACGGCACCTGACCCTGTTTTAACTTGTAAATCCTGCTAAAATATGGCTTATTGGGAAGGGAACAAGAAAAGACCTTTTGACTATTCATGAGTTCCCAAAATATTTCCACCAGTGAATCTTCTGAAAACTAGGAAAGAGAAGATACAAAATGAAGATTTCAAGATGGGTAAAGTTATGGTATAAAATGATTGGAGATAAATATTTCCAGTTAAAACAGATGTAAGTTCTAAACTGTTGGAAACTTTGCTTTGGTAAAAGTTTTTAAAACGTATTCTTAGGCTACGTGGCTGGGTCAGTTGCTAGAGCATGTGACTCTTGATCTAAGGGTTGTGAATTGCAGCCCCATGTTGGGTGTAGAGATTACTTTAAAAAATATTATTTAAAAAAATTTTTTTAATGTTTTATTTATTTTTGAGAGAGACAGAGAGACAGCATGAGCAGGGGAGGGTCAGAGAGAAAAGGTGACACAAAATCCGAAGACAGATTCCAGGCTCTTAGCAAGTTGTTAGCACAGATCCTGACATGGGGCTCAAACCCAGGAACCATGAGATTATGATCTGAGCTGAAGTCAGACGCTTAACTGACTGAGCCACCCAGGCACCCCTAAAAAATATTCTTAAATCTTAAAATATAGATTTTAAAAGCCCAATATAAGAATAACCTGAATAAAACCTACAGACTACACTAACAAAATCTAGGAAGGGAGGGTGGGGAAGGAAAAACTCACATGTGCTATGTTCCTTTAATCAGATGAGGGGGCTTCTAAAGAGACTTTCATTCCTGAACCCAGCAATTAGAAGAACACAGGTGCAAGAATGTGTTTTCAAAAAGAACAACTCCTTGAAGGTAAACAATTAAAACAAGAGTCCTGAAGAGCAAAAGTCCAACGAAGGATGGAATAAATTACCACTAGAAAGCACAGAATAAGACAAGAAATGATAGGTAATTAAAATAAACGTGATAAATTCTACTATAAAAATATTCTCAGAGTCAAATAATGAGACTCATTTACATGAAATTTAATAGGAATGCATGTTAAAAAAAAAAGTGACACAAAAATTTCAAAGGACCCTGAGGGACGTCTGGCTGGCTCAGTCAATAGAGCATGTGACTCTTGATCTCAGGTTTGTGATTTTGAGCTCATGTTGGGTATAGAGATTACTTAAAAATTTTTTTCAAAGGACCTTACATACATAAACATAAGACAACTCCCCAGATAAAGCAAATCTCCTCCCTTCTCAATGAAAAGATTTAAAGACAATTATTTTGAGGCAAACTTGACTATATAATTTCTAAGGATATAGGTGTAACAGCCAAACGTGTAGTTATTTAACTTAGTAACTAATTCTACAAAGGCATATTTATTTTGTAAAAATATTTTTACACCCAACCTGGGGCTTCAATTCATGACCCTAAGATCGAGTCATGTGCTTTTCCAACTGAGCCAGCCATGCCCCCTTCTATAAAGGTATATTCAAAATCAGACGTTATATAAAGTAGTGTATTAATTTAGGAGCATTGCTCTCTCAAAACTCACATTTTATGACATGGCTTTATTGAAACTTTCCAAATGCATCTTCAGTCCCATGCTTTAGTTATCAGGGTGATTTTGATGAGAATTTAACAGCTTCCAAAGTACAGTATCTTTACTTTCATCTAATGCTATTCACAGAACACTTCTTCCCCAACTCACAAGCCCATTTACAAAAGCATTTACAAAGCATTCGCAGGTCCTTGGGTGGCTCAGTTGGTTAAGCTTCCAACTTCTGCTCAGGTCATGGTCTCACAGTTTGTGAGTTAGAGCCCCATGTTGGGCTCTGCATTGACAGTGTGGAGCCTGCTTGGTATTCTTCCTCTCTCTCTCTCTCTCCCTCTCTCTCTCTATCCTTCCCCTGCTCACACTCTGTCTCTCTCAAAATAAATAAATTTTTTAAAAAAACTAAAACAAAAAAACCCAAAAACAAAAGCATTTGGAAAAACTGATTTTTACATTTGTTCTTTAGATAAATATTCATGTCTCTACAATAACAATTTTAAATTCCTCTTTTAAGGAATACTTAGAGGGCTTTTTGACAAAGACAACTAAAA